GCAGCACTAAGCGGCAACGCTCTGCTCTTCACAAGGGCCACCCTTCCAATCCCTCATCCCAGAGACAGCACAGAGACATCGATCCTGAATGTGACTGCATTCGCCTCTCCAACAGGAGCTAAGCAGCTCCATCAGCATGGTGATGCTCAGGCCCAGCTGCTGAAGCAGATGGGCTATGTTGAGCGAGGCAGCAGTTCACTGTGCCTGTGGTTTGCAAGCACCCAGCCCTGGCAAAGCACGCTCCTGCACCACTCCTGCTGCCTTCGAGAGCCAAGCTTGTCAGCAAGGACCCATTACCTCAGTGTTTCAAAGAATATGTTTCAAGTGACTTTGCTCTTCATAGCTGAATTCCTTTTCTCCCAGGACTTGAGGCTAAGCAAGGTTGGCAGTGCTGGTGGATGGGAGGGTAGCACTGCCACCCAGGACTGGCAACCAAGCAGTATGGCAGCAAGGATGGGTTTGACCCGAGACTCATGAGGAAAACCCAAGATCTACACACAGCAGCATCCGAAAGGTGAGAAAAAGAATCTTTTTTCCAAGGAAACAGCATGTTCAAAGAAAATTAAAAAAATATTAAAAATTATGGGATGTGCTGAGCAGGGATTTTTCTAAGGAGCAACTGCCACGTGCTAGAGGGTGAAAGGCTCAAAGCCTTCATCTAAGCTTTCTCTCCCATGCTGCTGCCCACAGCTCCTGCTGTCAGCAGCATTGCCAAGCTCTGGGCCATGGCACTGAACTCATTAACAAAATATTTAGGCCATGGAGACCTATCCTCTCCCCTGCCACACACATACAGCCGTGGCTCCGCAGGGACACGCTTCACTTGGACTTCAGCACAGACAGAGCATCACATGTTTCAAAGCGAGTTTCAAGTGAACACTGAGCTTAAAGTCCAATCAGGTTTAACATTGTTGGGCCACTGCTTGCCCAGAAGAGTGGTGTCTTCCCATTCCTCTTCTCTCCCCAGCTGAAAAGTTGTAAGAAAACCCTTCAGCCATTCTAAGGGACAATGATTTAATCTTTTTCTTTTCTTTTGCTGCCATAGTTACAATCAACTCAAACTCCACCAACCCCCTTTGTTGACTTCCTCTCTTTCATTTTTTTTAAGCTAACTCAGCAGATCAGCGTCTCTCAGTGACACCCTTTCCAGGAATTACATGTTAAATCCCCCACGAATCAAACCGACAAGAGCTGTGCCCGTGTCACTGGTGCCAACTCACGCAAAGCCAGAACGGTGCAGGTTCAGCTGGTGAGCAGAGAGAGGTTTGCAGGTGACAGGGACGGTCTTGTGCCTTCAAACAGGCCCATCACTGTGAAAGCCAGGCTTATAGAGCAGCTGCACAACATTTAAAAATTAGTCTTATTACCCACATTTCAAAACAGAGCACTTACAGTCTGCAGCATGTGCAGCAGTACAGCAGTACAGCAGTAATACCACCCTCACAGATCAGATAACCCAAGCCATTATCTGAAGAAGAAATAAGAACAACAACATAAAAGGCACAGCTGTGAGGCACTGTGACATGGGGCTCAGCGATATCTCTCTGGGAACCAGCACGCGGAGCCGTTGGAAGGCAAGTTTGACTTCCCGCTGCACTGGGGGCTGCGGGCAGCGCAGCAGCCCACGCTCCCCACCCTATGAAGAGAAAGCCTTATCAGGGGCCAGCATCCCATCCGCGGGCTGGGAAGGGGAGATACCATTTCACAAGAGACATGAGCACGGCAAAACAATCCCACTATGAGAGGGGCAGCCAATCCCAAGGCTGAGCCCATGCTCTTGTAAGATCCAGTCCATCCCCTGCTAGCTCGTGAGTTCTCAATGCCCAGAAGAGCCCTGCACATCTATTCCTGCTGACAGGCACACAACCACCTGCAGCAGTAAACGCTGCACCAACTACTGGGTTTTGCAGGACTGAGATGCGATTCAGCAGCTCCGAGCAGCCAGCCCACAGCAGCCTGCACTGCTGGCTTCATGCCGAGCATCTGCATGGCCCTGAGATCAGTAGGGCTTTGCTTCACCAACACAGCTCTCTAGGGTGCTACTACCACTTCTCCCTCCCTGCACACACAAAGAAATGTTAACTGTGAACTGATAAAGCCACCACCATATATTCTATGGATTGTATCTTGGGTGTTTCTGAAGAAAGAGAAATCTGAGTTAGGAACTTGTATTTTTATAGGATCACAACCCTAGAGGTGCTGCAGCCCGCCCAGGCTAGCACACACAGGTGACAGTTCCCAACTGCTGGCCTAATGAGTGATTTAAGAGCATCAATTTAGCGAGCTTTGCATGAGGTGAGTAACAAAGTGTATTTGGCACAGAGCACGTTGCTATCTGCAGGCTGCTATTGCTTCCTTATCATACCTGCCGGACTTACCCAAACCAAGACATTAATAGAATGAGAGCTAGAAAGAAACAGTTTCTCCCCACCCCCTTCCTACTTTTCAGCTTCATTACCCTCTGCAACAAGTTTCACTGTTTCCTCATACCACCAGGGTCCTCTTTTGCTGAAAAAGGCTTTTGTACAAAACCAGGGAAATCCCAGTAGTTTCTACTGGCTGTAGGTTTCTTACGGTCTGCTGCATGCATTTCAGACTCCACTACAGATCTGGTTATTTTTAATTAATATATATTTAAATTAAGCCTGTCCTACTTTTCTTACATGCTGTGTCAAACCAGTTCAAGTTTGCTCAGCTGAGTGCATAGGGAGTCCAAGACACAGCCCCCTGACAATGTTCTGCAGGGCAATGAAACCATTACCCAGCCCAGCACCCCTTCCTCCTGCTCAAACCTGGTCTTATAATACTAAAACAAGCACATTTTTTCTTCTACCCACATCTAAATTTCTCCCAGGTCATACGCTTCAGCATACAAATCCCACTCTTTTGCACTGCTCAGGCTCTTCAGAGCAAGCATAACATATGGTATGTAGGGCAGGATGTAGGCATAGGTGGATTATATCATCTCCCTGCACTTCCGTGTGTGGGAAAGGGGCAGAGGACAGACAGGAACTTCATTCAAACATCCTGAAACTCTCACAGCCCTACAAACACTCAGAGCTGCTCTAAATGATCGCTTTTGTGTGAAAAACAAATTGACTTTAAAGGGAGTTCAAGAGAATGATTAAATCTGTTCACTGCATCTTGGCCACCTACGTTCTCCTTGCACACAGTGGGGTGTTTTGTTTGGGGCTTTTCTGGCAGCTGTGCAGAACAAGAAGGCAAGCCTCATCTTTCACATCGCCATCCTATGTGCACCAGCACCCAGGGTGGTGCTCCAGACTGAGAAGGACAGAGGAAAACAAGATGCAAGTGAAATCTTAGCATGGCAAGAAACTATGATGTCTCTGCAATAATGCTACTGGCTACTATCTAAAAATTAGGTTTTCTAGTACATGGCACCCAAATGATGGGGGATTCTTAAACAAACAAACAAAATCTTGCATGAGAACTCTTCAAAACTCAACCATGTCCATTGGCCAGCCAGGATGGAGAACAGGTTGAGAAGAGATTCAAAGAAGATGGAGGATTAAAACTTTACTAAGAAGAATAAAATAGCCCTTGATTTCTTCACAACAGTAATCCCCTATCCCCTGATAAGCCACGTTAAAACAACAGAAAAGCAGACAGTTGCCCAAATGTACTGGTTGTAGAGGAAGTCAGCTTCTGGTTATAAACATGTAGTCTTCACTGCTTTGTTTACTGCAATCCACATTCTCATTTGGGTCAAAATGGGGATCAAAGGAGATGGAAGTAGTTGGAGATGAGGAAAGGTCATTACCTGAGGGGCTGACATCCTTAGCCTACAGTATGTAAGCTTAGTCTGCTAATTGTGTTATTGTTTTGAGGCTGGAGTTAGCACCAGAGGCATTAGGATACGACAACAAAACCAAACCAGCCTCGTATAAAGTAGCTTCATTCTGAAAGTCATCCACTTCAGAGATGTTGTCCATGTTTAAATTAGACGGGATTTAAACCAGTTATTCCCCTTAAGTTTTCATTTGTCTTGTCATTAACTTCTTTCACAACAGCTACCTCCTTCGCATCATTGGATGAGAAACGTAAGCAAATATAAGCAAAGAATTATCCAGTAAAGAGTGAACGTGGCTACATGCAAAAGGGTTTCCAACACACAACACCAGCTGGTAACAGAAGTGCTGATTCCTACCAGTGCTACCTTTGGAAGGATGACTACATTAGGGATTTAAAGGTGATTTTTAGGAATTGCATTTTATTAGAAAACAGGAACCCTCACTAGAACTTCGACTCAATGGATATTTAGTGTCCATTTTTGTAGAGTTTCTACCAAATACCAATTCATTACAACAAATCCCAGGGTACTGCAGTAAAACACCTCTGCCCTGACCTGCAACGGACCAGCTCCCTTCCTGGCCTTCTCTTTCGTTACTGGTTACTCCTCAACTGTGAAAAGGCAACACCTTTGTAAGTGATCTGATGAGACCACCAAAAACCAGCTACCCAACAGCTAATTCACCACTCTCAGCCCAAATTATGCCTGTAGCGTGGGTCCCCCAAGGAGCCTGGATCCCCAATGTGCTCTTTCAGCCAGACCCTGCCAAAAGGCTCCTGTCTCGGCTGTAGCACAAGAGAGCAGAGATTTCAGAGCCGGTAACAACACGAACACCGTTGCTCTGGAGCGCAAAGGACAGCGTATTTGGCCTTGAACCCCCCACCCTTTAACACAGAGATGAAGCGTTCCTAGCAGTGGACACGGCTCCATTCTGGAGGAGCTGGGCTCCTCTGCCCGCTGTACGCTTCCCGCCGGCGAGGACCACAGGAATACAACGAGTGTCAGTCCCGGGGACTCGCAGAGCTTGGAGGCTGCCCGAGACCGCTGACTTCCAAGCACTCCTCCAGGCTTGGCAAGGACCACATCTCACAATAGCCCCGCTCTGAAAGCGGGTGACTGAAAGTGGGGAATTAAACCCGCCGTTCCCCCCCCCCCCCCCCCAACCCCGAGCCAAGCGCTGCGCTCCCACCTTGTAGACCTTGCCGAAGGCTCCGTCGCCCAGCTCCCCCAGCACCTCCCACACCTCGCCGGGGTCCAGGTCGCGGCGGACGTGCTCGTACTCCTTGGACCTCCGCTTCTCGAAGGTGGAAAGGCGCAGGATGCGGCGGAAATTAGCGAAAGCCATGCTGGAGCGGAGCGGGGACAGCGAGCAGCGGAGCGGGGACAGCGAGCAGCGGAGCGGGGACGGGAGCAGCGGAGCGGGGACGGGAGCAGCGGAGCGGGGACGGGCAGCAGCAGGGAGCCGCCTCCCGGCCCCAACTAAGTCCGAGCCGCTGCGCGCCGCAGAAGCAGGGAGCGGAACCGCCTCCAACCGCGCACATGGGGCCAGCCCCGCTCCACCTGCGGGCCCGGATGACCCCGCCCCGCACCAGCCGGCACCGCCCTCGCCCGCCCCGCACGGCCCCGGTTCGCGCGGCTCGGCCCGGTCCCGCTTGGCACAGCCGAGCCGTGGCGGGGCAGAGCACGGAGCCGTGTCCGCAGGTGGAAGCCTTGGCGACAGGGGCACGTTTCCTCCTCCTCCCGGCTCATCTCGTGTGGAAACGGCCCAACACCAACAGTTTCAAACTCCCGATAACGGCGATTTGCGGGTGTCGGCACAGCGGGTACCCGTCATGAGTTTGTTTTGGAGGAGATGGGACCCAACCGGTGTCAAGCGTGAAGGTTCTCATCATCCCCTCCCTGCCAAACCCTCGGCTCCGCTGAAAACCCGGTTTGAAATCGGGTATTCAATGGGGACACCTAGGGGAAATATCCGATGGTGCAGCCGCGCTTCGGAACGTCGGGTTTGAACCGAGGGCTTGGAGGTCAGTGTTCGTCTGCACCAGGCTCGAAGATGCCAGCCCCGCTCCCATCAGCAAGTGTTTGCTCACATACACGTGCGTGTAACACAGGCGAAACTCCGCACAGCTCTGGCTTTGAGAACACCCGGGCTAGGTGGTTTCTCATTATTTCCCCATTATATTATACCTGAGAACACAGGGACTGAGCGTTGCCTCTCCTTGTCTGTGCTGGGTTTACTGTGGTACAAATCAGCCCTCACATTTATACTGGGAGTTTCCTCGATGCTGAAGCTGGAAATGCTACTTGAAACTCCAGTTCCTGGAAATGGGTGGCTGTGTGAGAATTTCAGTTGCCTTTTTTGAGGAAAGCTTAGTGTTCCCTAATTTCTTCCCTTTTCCCCACTGAGATGTAGGAAGAACAAGGTGAGAACGTAACCCAAGTGTATCCCTGAAACAGAAGGAAGCTGAAAATGATTGAGCTCAAACCCAGGCTCTGTGGGCTTTGGATCAGATCTGATACAAGGTGTGGATTTGGAAATACACGAGTAAGAACAGAATAGAACAGAACCAGAGCAACTGCTTTCCACATTTTAATCTTGATTTTCCCACTGTTTTAGCACCCCTGATCCTGTGCACAGGCAGTCACAAGCATCCCCATTGTGTCAGCACAGGCCTCTGTGTTACCCAAGAGGAAGGAAGTGCTGACCTGACTAAAAAAAGCACTTTCCATGGTTATCGCTGCACTGGATTGGACTCATTCTGGGTTTGAAGAGAAATGGGTGATAAACATTTTATAGAGAATCCTAAAATCAACTAGATTGGAAAAGACCTTTAAGATCATCAAGTCCAACCTTTATCCCAGGACTGCCAAGTCCATCACTAAACCATGCCACTAAATCCTTATTTAAACATAACAGCAGTCCAGCTTGCTAACAGCTCTTGAACATGAAATTGGGCATTTAAAAGCAGCCATCTCCACATTGTAACTGCTGGACACAATGCACAAGGCATTGTCACATACTGGAAACTAGAAAAGCCCTGGCTAAGGGATAAAGCAAAGCCCTACAGCTGCTGTGCAGCACCTCCTCAGCACACTTCCCTACCTCCTGCCTGTGGGTCTTCAGCCTATTGCCTTGGTTGTGCAAACCCCCATGGTGCTCCAGCTTGAGTGACACCTCTTCCCATGGGATTTACCCCACTGGCAGAGATCTGAGGGGAGCAGGATCAGACCAGGCTGCAGGGACTGATTGTTCGCTGTTGGGGATGTTTGATGGAAATGTTGGATCTGGAGACTGGGCTCTTCCTCTGCACTGGAAAAGATTAAATAGGACTAAAAATAATCGCCGGTGGATCACGAGTTAAAAGTGACACCTCCAAAGGAAAAAATGGTTCTTTTTACAGTTTTTCTGTTGGAAAAGTAATTTTTTTCCTCCAGGGGTGGAGAGGAAGAGAAAACAGACAGAAAATGATGAGACCTTTAACATTGCCTTCTATGCAGAAATCACTTACGTCTCTTTCAGAAATCAGGCAATCTTACTAATGCTGTCTACTAATTCTGAACAGTACCTCTTGTCTGCCACTCTGTTTTAATTGCCTGTGCAACCTGTCTGGGAGCAGTGGGCACTGAAAGTAAAATGAATCCTGCTAATTATTGCCCTCAGCTTTGTGCAGACGATGCCCGAGAGCTCTCTGTTTTCCAGATCTGCAGTTTTATTGCTTTCTCCATTACATGACCAACCTGAAAAGGACTGCATCAGGCTGCTCTTTGACTTACTGGGCTGAAATGTGAGGCAAGGATTTGCTTTCATGAGCTCTACGCTGTGGTGTGCATCCTCCTGTCCTATGAGGTACGTCCTTGCAGGTCCTGGGATCGGTACAGGGATATCTGCACCATCCAATGCCCCTGTAAAAGGAATCAGCTCACTGGAGCTCATCTTTTCTCACTGCGTGCAAGAAGGACCCTGGGTCTGATGTGGCTGTGATGCTGCTGCACAGAAAAGGAAAGCAGGGAAACAAACAGTCCCCGTTGATACCAACCTTCCCCCAGAGGGTATAAATACACCCCTGAAGCTGTTGCCAGCTAGGAACCATCTAAACACTCCTCCCAGCTCAAGCTGTCCATCCTAGCAAGGAGTTCTCCAAAAAACAAGTCCTCATCTGTGGCTACCTCGGGGGATGAGAGCAGAGCATCTATTTTCACCCACGGGTTTTTGCTAGTGTGGTGGTGCAGCGTGCGCTGATGCCCTTTTTTTATCCTCCCCAGCATCACACACAGCTCGAGCTGGGAGAGGCTGGAACCGTTTCCGGTAAGAGCAGTGAGGAGAGCAGGCTGTGGTGAGGTGGTAAAGGGTGGTGGGGTGGTAAAGCCAGGGTTACCCCTAGAGTACAACCTTGCTCTCTGACACAACCTGCAGCTCTGCTCTGGACCAGGCTCCCAGCTGACAGCCAGCGCTTGGACATGGGGAGAAAGGAGAGGAGCCAACTGTGGGATGTAGCCCTGCAAGTCATTCTGTACATGGGAGGGATGGGAAAGGACCTCTCAAAGCAGCCTTGGAGCTGGGCTGGCTATCAGTAGGTCCACGCAGCACAGCCTGAACCAAGCCAGCAGCAGCCACGTGCTCCCGCATGGCTCAGCCTCAGGAAGCACCAGGATTCTGGTATTTCCTGCAGGCGCGACTAGCAGGAGGTCACCTTTATTCTTTGGATGCAAACACCGGTTGGTATTCCATGTATTCTTGCCAAGCAGGAAATCATTGCTTGTCATCTGTTTCTAAACCTTTCTGCCCCAAAAGAGAACCATCTTGAACAGCAGCTCGTCCACCAGAGCTGCCCTTCAGCTGCCTCATGCAGACGGGGATAAAGGGATTGATTTGAACTAGTTTGAAGCCAGAATGTTTCTCTTCAATATCCAGAAAGAAGAACTTAGGGTATTCGAGGACTCTGATATTTCTGGAGATGGGGTAAAATTAGAGAAATTACAGTCAAACCATGAAAATGCCCCTAAACTCAAAGTTAATCTTTAGGATTCATTTTGCACTGCAGCCGGAGTTTTCTTCTGTTGCCTTCAGGAGCAGGTCTTTGTAACTTACCACACAGTCTGAATTGAAACTGTTTTAACAGTCAGATAGCAATAGGAATAAATGGTTTTTCGAGGGTAAACCAGGCACCTTCCTCTGTCTGAGGAGACTGATAGACAACCAGTCATTAACAGACTGTAGACCTCTCTTCCACAGCCTCACACCGTCCTCATGACTTCAGCATGCTCCAGCAGCACACTTAGCAAGACAGTCATTAGTAACCAAGGGAGATCCCTTCTCTCTTTCTTCTCCTTTCTGCTGGTAGGGTCCCAGGTTATTGTTTTTACTGAAAATTCTCCATGTCCCACCACCAGCATCCTCTTCAATTCTTTGTTTCAGGCGATTGCATCTCTCCTGTAAGCCCTGCAGGGCTCGCAGCCTGCTTCCTGTGTGGTTTAGCAGCACAGCAAGGTATCAAAGCCTCCATCCTGAGCGCAGTTCTCTGGTGCCCTCAGAGCAGTTTCCTGGAAGGAGCTGTTTCACAGCCCCAGGTTGTGTTGATCCCATCCTTTCATCTCCAGGCTGCCTGATTAAAAGGCCAGTGTTTTGCAGGAGCAGAATGGCTGTGACAGCTCCTGCTCCCCCATCCACACCAAGCTCCAGCTGTTCCAAATCATTCCAACAACTGCAAGTCATTACAAATGGTAGAGGAACAGCCATATGCCAGGGAGGAGGTCCATCGGCCTGTAACATGCTCGGGATCAGCCGGAGGCAATACTTGGAACCAATTTCACCAGTCAGTTCGGAAACCAGAACAAGTCAAGGCAATGAGAGTCCGGACTTAAGGGTCTTTCTCTGATGTATATTGTGCAAGGCTGCCTTGCTGAACTAAGCATCTACCTCCTCTCCAAAACTAGCGACTGCACTACGGGGAATTCAAGATGTTTGCAGTCTTCTGCCTTGACAAACAACGACAACAAGAGGAAAGGGATCACAAAGAGCCTCCCAGCAGGACAGCAAGCTCCTGCCACTGCCTGTTCTGTTTTCTCCATTGCACATCACCACTCTTCTGCCCAGGAGAGCACCAGAGGCTGACATCCAGTGAAGGACTGATAATACTGGGACGTCAGCCTTGTGCCTCAAAGCTCTCTCCAGGACTAAGCCTGATGGAGCGTTACCTTGCCCCATGTACTGCAGTAGGTGTTGTCTTGGTACTTCAGACACCACCTCTCCCTGTCCCTGTGTTACACCCGGTTTAGCGAGAGCCTTTCTCCCGGGTGCTGCCATTTGGCCGCACTCAAGACACACACAAAGCAAGGCTGGGTTGGAGCGGGGAAGGCTGGGCTCTGAGGCTGGAGCCACTCACACTGGCAGCTTTGTGCTCCCATGCTCTGGGCTCAGGCAGCTCCCAGCATCCGTGCTGGCAAGGAACAGCCCAATGACAGGAAACGCTCTTTGCTTTGTTAACAAAACCACCTAATTAAGGCCATGTGGACGGAAAGCAGGAGGCAGTTTAGTTTCTCTTGTTAAATATTGACTGTTTACCCTTTGAGCACAGCAATCCAGTGAATTT